TTAGAGAAATGGAAGCCCAAATCAGTTGTGTACGTGAACTTTGGGAGCCTAGTCACTATGACACCTCAACAGCTGAGGGAGTTTGCTTGGGGGCTTGCTAATACCGGGTATCCTTTCTTATGGGTGATTCGACCTGATCTTGTGGATGGTGGATCAGAAATCAAGTCAAATGACTTCGTTGAGGTAATCAGAGGGAGAGGTTTGCTTGTGGATTGGTGCCCACAAGAGCAAGTCTTGGGTCATCCTTCGGTTGGTGGCTTTTTAACGCACTGTGGATGGAATTCCACACTGGAAAGTATATGTGAGGGAGTTCCCATGATCTGTTGGCCTTTCTTCGCCGACCAGCAGACTAACTGCCTGTATGCACGCACCAAATGGGGGATCGGTATGGAGATCAGCACCGACGTCAAGAGAGAGCAAGTGGAGGAGTTTGTGAGGGARTTGATGGAAGGGGAGAGGGGGAAAATGTTGAGGAGCAAGACCATGGAGTGGAAGAAGAGAGCAGAAGCTGCTGCAAAGCCAGGGGATCATCTTTTCTCCAATTGGATAGATTAATTGACGAAATTTATACTTGATGGTACAGCTGCAAATTAAACTTCAATGATCCTAAAGGCCTGTTGTTTTTTTATTTCTTATTTCTTAAAGTGCAATCATACAACTTTTTATTTTTCAATAATATCCCCAAAGACAGAAAAACTCTTGGTTAAAATGTATATTTGATAATTTTCTAAATTTAGAATTGAGAACAACATTCTCTCCATTCAGAGTTTAATGCCAGATTTCAGAGCAAACATACAAACCCCTTATCATTGGTTCCACAGCCTGCCGAACAGCTAAAGCATTCAGCTAAACCTTKCTCGTTAGAGAACGATCGGCATAGCCTTTTGTAGCCAGCCTATATCAGCATGCTCTTGAGACCCCTATGATTGATTGCCTTTGTTATAAACATGCGCCGACACACTACCACCGTCCGGTCCCATTCTTCATTCTTCTTTCTTTGACAAACCCTCCTTTGCCAAGGTAGGAGGACCTCATATTGAGCTCAGAGCCAGTGCCGATGCAAGGTCTTAGGTACTCATTAGGGCTGTTCACAGGTTGGGTTGGGTCGTTTTACTACAGTTTTTCCAACCAACCTCACACATGGTGCCTCAAACCGGCCTCACATGCACATCCTACAATGCATTGGGAACATCTTCTATACTTGTAAGTTATTATTCAAGGGAAATGTTCCCAATGCAAGGTGGATGTGCTTGTGAGGCGCCCATGTGTGAGGAGCAGATCCCGTTCCCTCAATTCGTATCTGCCCCAAAACCAGTAGCGGATTGGATTTTGAGAATGCAAACCTTATCCGTACAAGAAAATGCAAAACCCTTTCCGACCCTATCCTCCTTGCATTCAAGGGTAGGGGTGGGTTTGATTTAGAACCCATATCTAATTTCCTATTATTTCTTGTCATATATAAGCAATAAATAAGTAAAATAACACAAATAAATAACAAAATTTCCAATTATTTGATTTAGACMTGTAGAAAACACATATTTTAATTAATCAATTATCTTTCATATAAAATTCAAAATATTATTAATTTCAATACTTGTACATAAAGTTTATATGCTTTCCAACAATATGCGGGTCGGGGAGGGTTGGGTTTAGCCTAATACCGTACCGTACACGTACCTGTATAGGTTGTAGAATCCTAAAACCCATCCCACCCCAAAACCCATCCTTCAAGCAAAAATATCCACCCTGTCAGGGAGGATAAGGGTGGGTACCCACAGGGTATGGTAGAAATTGCCATCCCCAAGTAAGTTCGTTGTCCGTGTCCTCATTTGTTTCCTTGTAGTTTGTTATTTATTTTGTTTTTAAGTGATTTTTTTTTTATGAAAAGAAAATRTTATTAGGGGTGGGTTCAAGCCGAGTTGAGCTGAATAGTAGGGTTGTTCATGGGTCGGGTTGGGTCAGTTTACTGTAATTTTTCCAACCGACCCGACTTGGTCGGGTTACCTGACATAGAAACCGAAACCGACCCAGTATTAAGAAAAACCGACCTGGTCGGTTTGAGTCAGGTTGGGTCGGTTTGGGTCAGTTTCGGTTCTAAGTTCATCCCTGTGATAAAATCTTGCTAATTTTAAAAACAATCATAAATTGAACATCATTTCAGCCATCTCCTATGATAAAAATTAAATGAAAAGATAATCACAAAAGTTGTTCATTAATCACTATTCACTAATCCAAAGTTTCTTGCAACCATTCAAAAACTARGTGGCCTAATGGGCTTTGGAACTTCATGTTTGAACTAAGTCGGTTTGGTTCGGGTCGGTTTCGGTTTTCTTGTGTGAAAATCAAAACCGACCCGAATCATCGGTTTAGGAATTTGCACAACCCAAAACCGACCCGTGCTGATCAAAACCCAGCCGACTCGGGTTGGGTCGGTTTGGGTTGGTTGGTTTGGTTGGGTTGACCCTTCTTATGAACAACCCTACTGAATAGTACGAGGCTTGAGCTTGGCTTGCCAAGGTAGTACAAGGCTCGAGCTCGATTTGAGTTAAAACTCGTAAACTCGAGCTCAGCTCGAGCTCGATTTGAGAAAAAATGTGTTATAAAAATAAATCATATATAAAAGTATTTTTATTTGATATTTAAAAAAATTAAGAATTATAATATTTTTATTATATATTATTTTCTATAATTATATATGTATATTCGAACTTAACTTGCAAGCCGAGCTCTATTAGGCTTGAGCTCGGTTTGTTTATTAATCGAGCTTATAAATTGGGCTTGAACTTGGCTCGAAGCTCAGTTGAAACCGAACTAAGGAGAGCTTGAATAACTTGTGAAGAGCTCGTCTCGTAGCCACTGCTAAATGTTTTGATCTTATCAAATTATTTTAATTTTACATAAAGATTTATTTATTTATTGATTTAAAAAGAAGAAAAATAGAAATTAGAAACCAATAAGGATATAGTATTCAGCAAAGAGATTGAATTACTCACCACAAGAATGTTTAAAACTGTTGTTAATGAGCCCCGAAGCAAAGTCCACAAGCTGTTGAGGCGTCATGATGGTGATGTTGCAAAAATTCACGTGCACAACCGAGTTGGGTTCCTTGGAATCGAGTAGGAATGGCAACGGGGCAGGACGGGGATGGGGGAGCCCCGTCCCCGTGAAAATCCCCATCCCCGCGAAAATCCCCATCCCCATCTCCGTCTTCGTCCCCGCTAACGGGGACAAGGTTATCCCCATCCCCATCCCCATCCCCATGGGGATCCTCATCCCCGCGGGGATCTCCATTCCCTGTGATTTTTTATAACGTTAACTATTTTGTTTTTGTTTTTTATTTTATTTAAAAAAATATAATTAAAATAATTAAAATTTACAATCCTATTAGAAAAGATTCAACCTTATTTTTTAAAATATTAATATATTGATGTATGTGTACATATATACATATATAATGTATGCATACATATATTAGTGGGGATCCCACGGGGCGGGGAGTGCTCTCCCATCCCTGCCCCATTCATGGTGGATCCCTACGGGGATTGGGGAAATGGAGAAAATTGTCATCCCTAAAATCGCCCTATTGATTTATCAAAACTCTTTCCATATCATATCTTTTCCTTATTATAGATTTTCCCTAAAAAGATACAATTCTAGTGGATTAAACAAGTATCTCAATTCTAGTGTATTATGGCTCGCTCAGCATTCTCAACAATTGATGTATATATGTTCCTAAGAATTATTGAAGATTAAATAAATTGCTGAATTTGTTTTCGTTATTGAAAAAGGCAACCAATACATCAGCAAAACTATATTGTTATCAGTTGTTTTTGTTTTCAAAAACAAAACCAACCATATTTTCGAACATCTCCTTAGATGATAGAATTTTTTATTTTTTGTTTGGGTATGAAAAGTCATATAATAAAACTAATTTCTAATGTGCAAGAGGACATTTTGCATTTCTCTTCTCATTTAGGCAATGCTCGGTTTGTAGGTGACTAGACCTGTCATGGGCTGGGCCAGGTTTGGATTAGGCCTTGCCTCTTTATAAACAGAAAATGACCAGGCCCAAGCCCAAGCTCGGCTGGACCATTGGGCCTAATTGTTGAGCTTGAACCCAACCCTATATATATATAAAGCCCAAAGTTCGATTTGGACAGGTATTTTATATTTTATTAATTTATATTATTTATRATATATTATTATATAATATTCTATATACTTTAATAAATATAATTCTTTTTTCACTACTAATTTTAATATTATATAATATATTATCAGGCCAAATTTATTTGGGAAAATCAAACTTGACCTGATAATTAGTTGGACCCTTCTGAGCCCAAAGACTTTAATAAAACTAGTTGGTGCATGCACAAAGACTATAAGTTTGTTGAAAACAGAAAGAAAAAACTCAGAGGAAACAGAAAGAAAGAGAAAAAACTCAACTACAATAATAAAAAATGAAAAAAAAAGTGGGATACGAATGGTACGTGGGGAGTTGGAAAACCAGATATATGAGTTAGTCAACTATAATAATGGATTGGCGTCCCATTGTCATATATATACCAGATATATGTGTTAGTCAATGCCCTGGATCAAAATAATTAAAAATAAAAACGATAAAAAAAGAAAACTTAAACTGTTGGGAATTGGGATTTATTTATATTTTCTTTTTTTTATTATTTTTTATTTTTAATTATTTTGACAAAGATAATAAAATAATGAATAATTTCTGCCTAATGGAATAAAAACATTTAGATGAAAGGTACGTTAACAAGGACATGTGTCACACAGCTATTATGTGCTCACTAATTGTATTTAACTAAGGTGTCTACTACATCCGGACCCTCTTAATGAAGGTATGGCATGTTAACATCTTGACATGTTAACATTGTGTGGGCTCAACTTTGGGAGATATCGATCCCACATCAGGTTCTAAATAACATTACCCAATTCACGGTAATATTGTTAGCTTTCTTTATTGGATCCTTATATATAGTTTTCATCAATTGCTCACCCACTTCCAACTTGGTTCTAATCACTACGGTCTCACTGCCTGGCTAACAATTTTCTTTTGCCCCTTGTTAATTTCTGTTTCTTCACAAATTGGAAAAGGTGAATTGGTCTGTTTTTGATGAGTGTGTGCATCGTAGCTGGCAGCCGGCTAGCTCCCTCTCCTTTTTCATGCTGTGTGTGGCGTTAATTAGCGGTGCCTGTTTTTTAGGCAGTTTGGTAAATGTGTGAATTTTGTTTTAGAGGAGTGATTGTTTACTGTACTGTGTGTTCTCTATTGTAGCGTACGTCCAAAAGACTTTATTTTTGCTACAAAATATAAGATGTATTAAAGAAGACTTATTTATTCGGTTTTGTTACAATTAGGGGTGAACAAAAAAATCGAAAAACTGAATCGATCAAAAAAATCAATTGAAACCGAATTGAAAAACCGGTTAACCAAATCGGTGGATTCGACGTCTGCGCGTAGATTAGACGCGACCTAGGTTATTCTTGATTGAGCCAGGCGGCCAAATGGGTCCGACCAACGATTCGCCCGACAAGCCACCTGGACCTCATGCCAAATCCACCTGGGCTCATCATGAACTCCCCGCACCGGGTCGGGACCCCTGGCCTGGGGAGTGGGGGACAATTGATGAAAGGTGATTTGGCCTAACCAAGAGATGACAACTCAGCCTGACAAGCTCAGTTTGCAACAATTAAGCTCGCGTATTCACTCACCTCGGCACAAAGGTTGCCTCGGCTCTAGGCTCACCTCAGAGCAGGGCCATCTCGTCACAAGTCTCACCTCGACATCGAGTCACCTCGGTATCCAATCCAGTTCGGAACTAAAAGACCGAAGTACCAGTTTGGAACCAGCAACTCGAAGTGCGACGTAATTGACTCCCGCATAACCAACTCCATAGGTCTCTCCAACAAATCCCGAATCCCTCAAGATCACGATGAGTTAACAGATCCTGACTTTTGCGGGATCACGATAAGGACTTATCCTGACTTCGCCAGAATCGGAGGTGAAACGAGATAAGCCTCATCTGTGTACTGCTCCTTCAGAAGCAGAGCGAGCTCCATCTCCACATCCCGGATATCCCGGAACTCTTTCGTGTGCCCCATGACTACTCAACTATATAAAGGCTCCAACCCCGATGGCTTAAGGTACACGTGATTTTTCTGCTCTCTAACTCTCTAGCTCTCTACATTCTCAAAGCTCCTCAACTCGCATTAGATTACTAACTTAAGCATCGGAGCGACCTCGCCGGGCTAGTCACCTTGGGTTCTTTGATCTTGTTTTGCAGATTTACTTAGCTCGCGCGTCCGACTGGAAGCTAGATCACTCTCCAGCAGGGAGCAGTCAGATCGTGCAATATCAAGTAGCATTTCTTTTCGGTATCATAGATTTTCTTTTTGAAAATTAAATAACACGATGTTATATTAATAAAATCAAAAGGTTACACAGGTAGAGATAGAAACAGAGGAGCCCATAACAGGGCATCAAGGCATCGAGTCATTGGTGTACAAAAGAGATCCATGGACTCCAGATTTTGCTAAAGTTTCTGCTGCACTGTTTTGTTCCCTGGGAACCAACCGAAGGTCACACTAACAGAGGAATCTAGGACCCTTGCTTCAGTCAAAAAAAAAAAAATCCAAACACCATGGGCCACCTTGCTCATCTTTCAACTACCAGACTGTGTTAGCCGAGTCACCAAAAGCAGCAAGAGGCGAGAAGCCCTGATGATTTTGGCTGTGAATTATTAGTAATTAATTTGCTCTTTTTACCCGCATGTTTTGTGGTTTATTCTTTCAATAAGGTTTATAATCACAGCGAAAATGGTAATGCCTGCTAGTTCCATCCACCGTGAAACTCCTCCAAGGCGAGGTGTCTATAGATGAAGATAGAATTCCGTTTGCTTTGTTTTCTATTTTTGCTGAAGGCCAGATCCCCAATTTTTAAGAGTGTGGCCATCAGAATCAAATTTTATTGATTCCCTTTTATTACTCTTAGGCCCTGTTTGTTTTCAGTAAATAGGAGGGGGATTTTCCATTGACCAACTTACAATGTTCTTTTTTCGGTAAGCTCTAGGCCCTAAGGTAAATTTAGTTTTCTTGGGTATCACTCACACCGGTGAGTGATAGGACAAAAAGGATAAATAAATTTTCCACCTATAGGGTAGAATTTACAAAACATAATAGAACAAATTTGACTATTTTAACATTGGATTTTTATTGATAAAAAGTCATTATATAATTTACTTGGGAAAGAAAATGGACAAATAAAGTTACCCGAGTCCTAGGAAACATTTACCTAGATAAGCGCACTTACACAAGTGACATTTTAAAAAAAGGAACAAGGCCATATTAGGTAATACTTTCATATTCCTAGACTTGAAGAGATGGATAAGTCTTCTCCTAGAGGAGTTTTGGAGGACTGTACAAATCAATGTTTTTAAAACTTGACTGGACAGGGAACCGTTCTAGAGACCAGTTCTTGGGTCGAATGGTCCGATCATCCGGTTTGAATGGATGGCCCGTTCTGACAAAAAGAAATAAAAAAAATGACTTGAATTCATTGTCTTGGTCAAAGGTTCAACCACTTGGGTCCGCGGTTCGTTGACCAAATTAACGATTTTGGAGTGAAACAGAACCGGTCATCCCAATTTTTCCAATCCAACCATCCAGTCTAGTCCAGTTTTGAAAACACTAGCACAAAGGGCCTGGAATCTAAAACATGTTCTTTGAAGGCCAATACATCACATTCTGAGTAATCATTTCCCATTGACAATAATTCTTAGGTCCCGTTTGGCATTTGCTTTTCGGTAAGTTACTTACCCAGGTAAATGCAATTACCTAGGTAAGTTTTTCTTGGGAAACACTTAMCAAGATAAGTGTATTTGCTCATGTTCTTTTATTTCCCAAGTAAAAAAGGAAATGACCAATTTAACCATAAAAATTCATTCTTAAAAGAGGCACTTTTGTCCTATTCTCTTTCTAGTCCCAGATGCACCTAGCTGGGGCTGATGAGTCTTGCATGTGTGTAGCCTTCTCTACTACCTTTAAAGAAGTAGTTCGAACCTGGTATCGGAACCTCGCGCTGAGATTGATCAAAAGCTGGTCGCAGTTCGCTGACTTGTTCACTGCACATTTCATCACCAGCAAAAAGAGTCCAAAGTCCCAGGGAAGCCTTCTCAATGTGGTTCAGAGGGAAGGAGAATCGATTAGGAGCTACATCAAAGGCTTCAATGACACCTGCCTGCAGATACCGGATCTCGACCCGACAGTGAGGCTCATTGCAGCCAAGAAGGGAATTACCCACAAGGAGTTCAAATGGCATGTTGTAGCAAACAAACTGAAGGACATTACTGAGTTCCTAAAGCTCGCAAACCAATTCATTGGCACCGAGGAGGAGATCAATCAGAAGGTCTATAACTCACCCTCAGAGAAGAGGAAGAGAGAAAGTGAAGGAACGAGCAGTGGTGGACAAAAGAGGAAGAAAAGCAAGTCCCCAAGAAGGGGAAGAAACAACTCTAGAAGTCGGTCCCCTTCGCGATCTCGTAAATCAGGTCGGCGCTCCAGGACCCCTCCTGTGGAGAGAACGAACTACACACCCCTGAATGCTAAAAGAGGAGAGATCCTAATGGCCATTATGGATTCCCCTTTCGTCAAATGGCCTCCCAGGTTAAGAGGAGACCCAACAGCAAGAAACCCGAACATGTATTGCCACTTTCATCGAGATCATGGGCATAGTACAGAGAATTGCAGGAACCTCCGTGATGAGATCGAGGAACTCATCCGAYGTGGACACTTGAAGAATTTCATCTTCAGCAAAGAAAGAAGACAGACATATCGGCAAGCAGACCGACAAGGAGATAAGAGGAATGCCCCAGAAGTCAGCAGGCAAAACGAGCAACCGCTACGACAGTTGCCAGAAGAGAGACCGATTCGCGGGGTAATTAACATGATTACCGGTGGGTCCATTATCGCGGGAAAATGAAGGCAAAACACCTTGTCATATGCAGCGACTCGCAACTAGTGGTCAACCAAGTTACTAGGGAGTACGAAGCGCGTGACTCCACTACGGCAGCTTATTTGGCCAAAGTCAGAGAGATCCTATGCAGCTTCATCTCCTACTTCATCAGACAAATCCCAAGGTTCGAGAACACTGGGGCCGACGCCTTGTCTTGACTAGCCAGTACAAGCAGCAACACCATGTGGACCAGACCGTGTACATTGGGGATTTACCTCAACCTAGCATTCTCGGGGGGGAAGAAGAGGTCTCTCCCATATCACAAGCGGAACCGAGCTGGATTGACCAACTCGTAAGTTATCTGCTTCATGGGACCCTACCTGCAGAACGCAACGCAACCCGAAGGGTAGTGCGCCCGTTAGCTAAGTATGTCCTTATATACAAACAACTGTACAGAAGATCTTTCACGCTCCCCTACCTGCGCTGCTTGCGACCCTCAGAGGCCGAGCATGTACTCTGCGACACCCATGAAGGCTTTTGTGGTAGACACTTGGGGGGCAGAGCTCTCGCATAGAAAGCGTTGCAACAAGGCTATTACTGGCCCACGATGAAGACAGATGCACTCGAGCTCGTCAAGAAGTGTGACAGGTGTCAGAGGCACGCCAACATTCACCATCAACCTGTTGCTGATCTGAAATACCTCACTAGCCCATGGCCCTTCGCATAGTGGGCAATCAACATCCTTGGCCCTTTCCCGCCAGAGACAGGATAGAGGAGGTTCCTGGTCGTAGCAGTAGACTACTTTACGAAGTGGGTGGAAGCCGAATCTTTGGTAACGATCACAGTCCACAACATACAGAATTTCTTCTAGAAAAACATAGTATGTTGCTTCGAGCTACCTCGGGTACTTATCTCTCACAATGGGAAGCAGTTCAAGGATATCAATTTTCAAAACTAGTGTGCTGAAATGGGAATTCAACAAAATTTCACCTCGGTGGCACACCCCAAGCGAACGGGCAAACAAAAGTCACTAATAGAGCGATACTTCGTAGATTGAAAGCTCGCTTAGCTCGAGCCAAGGGGTTGTGGGTGGACGAACTGCCTAGTGTCCTTTGGGCTTATCAAACTACCATTAAGACTGCCACAGGTGAAACCACTTTCAACCTCACTTACGACACATAAGCGGTGATCCTAGCGGAAATCGAGGTGCCCACACTACGGTTGGAGGCTTATGACAAGGAGACGAATGATGATGAGCTCCGTACCAGCCTAGACCTGATAGAAGAGGTATCAAACCTTGCTTACATTCAGACTATAGCTTACCAACAAAGAGTAGCTCAATACTATAACGCCCAGGTCAGAAAACGACACTTCCGCATCGGTGACCTAGTTTTTCAGAAGCTTATGGTACTTGAGCCTGGCATTGGTAAGCTCGGACCAAATTGGGAAGGTTCGTACCGAGTAAGATGAGTGTTCGGGGAAGACACGTACAAGCTCGAGACTTTGAAAGGGAAGTAGGTACCTTGAGCATGGAATATCGACAACCTGAGCAGGTACTACTTGTGACCACTAAACGGGTCAAAAAGGATCACCGAACTGGAGATAGGATTGCAAGTCACTCCCAAAAGCGTAAGGGCCATGGTGCCGAGTTGACATAAGACCTCGGCACTACGACAAGTCCTAGTTGCCTCTTCGGCATAGGCAGACAAGTCCTATTTGCCTCTTTGGCATAGGGATACCAGTTTTCACGCCTGAGACATAGACAGTTCAGATACAAACCCTACGACATCTAGCCCACCTCGGCGTATAACAATAAGTTAATCCCATTTGAAGTCTGGCCCGTTGGCTCGGCACTAAGGGATAACCAACAACTAAGCGAGTAGCCTGTGTGTAGACAGGTCGGGTATATACCCTACAGTGTCCGCCCACCTCGGCATACAACGATACGAAGCTATCCCTCCTTGGAGTCCAGCTCGTTAGCTCGACAATTCAGGGTAACCTACACTTAGAAAAAATTCACTCCTATTTGGTTTAGTTCACTAGTTCGGGAGTTATCTACACTTAGAAAAAAAAATTTTGCATACAAAGATTGCAAAAACACTTGTATTTCATTGATATGGAATTTCGGGTACAAAAAAAAATTTACAATGGATCGTGATGTGAATAAAAATTATCATATTCTTATCTATGAATACTCAGTCTTTCTACACTTAATTAACACTTAATTGGACTCATTAAGCTGGTATTTTGATTCAGGGCACGGAAAGAAGTCGTAAGAAGGAAGACAAGGCAAATCGGATGGTTTTTCACAATTTTGGCACCGTTCAGTAATCTAGGCCTAACTCTCATATCTGGGCTCCGATTGGGCTGATTCAAGATGCAATAGAAAGATAAGAGCGAAATCTACAACTTTCATGTTTTGGGTTTTGACAGATTCGGCCTGAACCGAAGTCAAAATTGGGCCCAAAGTCGAAGCGGATCCGTAGTAAAGCTCAGTTCACAGCTGAAGCCCAATTCGCAGAAAAGCCTTGTAGCAACCCAAGTACCCAACTTATTAAAGCAACCCACTCGAATTCAAGAATCCAGAGTCCTCTTAGATTTGAATTCTAAATGTAATTCTAAAAAGTTAAAGAAGATTGAGATCATTAGATAAGAGATAAGATAGGATAGGATAGGATCAGTGTAAAACTAACCTGGATTATCCATTCTTGAGATAACTCCAAGTAGTTGTAAAAGCCCCTCCCCAAAAACTATGTAAAGCGTGGGCGTACCAGCACCTGGTATCAATCAATTATTGAAGCTCTCTCTGAAGCAATCAAGAACACCATCAAGAAAGTTTCAAGAAAGAGATCAACAAAGGCAAGAAAGTTTCAAGAAGGAGGTGGCGGCAAGAAGAAGAGAGGATCTCAGATCCAAGGGCGACATCATGAGTTCTTTATTTCCTCTTGTTTGTTTTATTTCCTTTATCATGAATTGATTTCTTYATAGCTAGGGCTGTGGAAAGCCTAACCATGACAATGAATATATTTTTATTCTAATTTATCCAAGATTGTGATTTCCATATAGTTTATGAGTTATTATGCCTAATGCGATTAATCGGGAGAGGAATTCATATAGTGGACCGAATAATTCATGGTGTGAATTGAATGGTATATAAGGATATATACACATGATTCATCTGAACGTATAAGTTTTTCTTTGAACTTAATGCATTTCTATCTTGAGAACTCTAGTCGAGGGATCGAAGGGTCACTTGATAGAAGTAGATTTGATATATCTTGGGAAAGAATATTAAATAAAATTGGAGAAACTTCAGCTTATGGAAATGACAAATTGGATCTGAATTTCGGATCCAATTGGTCCGCCTAACCATTCCAATGAATATTAATGGATGAGATTAACCAAGATAATTTGTCATTTCYAKAAGCTGAAGTTTYTCCAATTTTATTTAATATTCTTTCCCAAGATATATCAAATCTACTTCTATCAAGTAACCCTTTGATCCCTCGACTAGAGTTCTCAAGATAGAAATGCATTAAGTTCAAAGAAAAGCTTATACGTTCAGATGAATCATGTGTATATATCCCTATATACCATTCAATTCACACCATGAATTATTCGGTCCACTATATGAATTCCTCTCCCGATTCATTCACATAAACCCAATCAATTAAGAGATGGCCACTCATAATCGCATTAAGCATAATAACTCATAGACTATATGGAAATCACAATCTTGGATAAATTAGAATAAAAATATATTTATTGTCATGGTTAGGCTTTCCACAGCCCTATCTATAAAGAAATCAATTCATGATAAAGGAAATAAAACAAACAAGAGGAAATAAAGAACTCATGAGAGAACCCGAGGTGGCTAACACGGTGAGGTTGCTTCGATTCTTAAGTTAGTATTGCGAGCTGAAAGTTGAATGATAAGCGTACTAGTGAGCAAATAATCGCGCATACCTGGGCCCTAGAGGGGTTGTTGTCCTTATATAGCTGAGTTGTCGTGTGTCTCACAAAATGGTTCCGGGATCTTTGTCCTGAGTGGATGAGATTTGTTTCCACTTTAGTTGGGGAGTAACGTATCAGTTAATGGAGTCTATCATCTCCGCCCAATCCGGGTGGGAGAGGATAAGGCCTGTCGTTACGCAGCATGATCCCGTGAAGTTCGAAGTCCGCTGACAAGCTTCTAGAGTCGATTATGTGTCACTTCGGTTCTTGGGCCCTGAACTGGATTAGGTGTCGAGGTTCATTTACGCCGAGGTGACTTTATGTTGAGGTGGCTTTGTGCCGAGGTGGCCGAACACCCGAGCTCTGAAAACTACTAAATAGTTTCCTTTTGCTGAGTTGTCATCCTTCAAGCAGATTGCATCCACGTGACCTTTACTTACTACGTCATGCCAAATCAACCCTCATCATATGGTTTTATTAATAGGTTTAAATAATAATAAAAAATAAGAGTATCCAGATAAAAATGTCCTTAACTAAGCATTCCCTCCAAGTAGCCAAGCCCTCAGTTCAGAAGATCTTTGAAAACTGTAAGTGGGACAAAAAGTAATGAAAAACCCCATATTTCACGACTTGTCCATACATAGCCTCAACCAGACCAAAAGGTATCCTGATAAAAAAATGGCAGAACAAAAAACCTCCTATCATTGATTGTCTCATTTTCACTTTGAATCCTACATCTTTAAACCCAGAAAAAAATACATAAGTTAACAGTGACTCATCATTAAATAGTAAAGATAAGTATGGCACCTACCAGTAAAATAACAAGAATTCAAAGATGAACCAAAAGAAAGTCTCATCATATTTTAAAAAAGAGATGGAACCCAACTATAAACCAAGAATGTTACCACTGATAAAAGTAAAATTCACCTATCATCTACCAAAAAAGGAGAAAGGAGATGAAAAAAGACTTTGGTAAAGATTCACATCAATATTGCTCAGCCATTAGGCAATAGCATTTATCTTATTTGTTCCTTTAATCATACAGATCAAGCCTCCAAGTGAAGGAGACCCTT